AGTATTATATTAACAATAGCTGTGGTTCATTAACTGTAAATCAAGCATTTTTTCAGGCTGTAAAACTATTACTCTCAAATTTACACACATACCTACACTCTCAGAAAAAAAAGGTACAAAACTGTCACTGGGGCAGTACCCCTCTTGTCACTGGGGTGGTACCCTCAAGGGTACATCTCAGTGCCTTTCGTCAGGGAACAAAACTGTACGATAATCCATTGAAATTATATTTGAAATTATAAATTAAATTATTTTTAAGTTGTACTGACTCCATACACTCTTGTTGTGTCTTGTTTCCAGACTTTTAATTTCATTGTTCTGTTTAAAAGCATTAAGTAATGTTAAAAGGTACAAATACGTACTTTTCAACTGGGAAAAACACAATACACAACTGGACCTTAAAAGGGAAAGATGAAACTGATAAATAACAAAACTGGTGAACTTTGCATGTGCTCATTTTATGATCAGATTTGGCCATATGCAACTTTAATAAATAAAGGCCAATGTCTGATGTTTTTGATCATAAGAGAAATTATTTTGATCCTAGAAAAATATGATACAAATGTGGCAAATCCAACACCTTCCCCCTAATTTGCTCTGACTAGGAAGTTCAGTGGAACTTCAAGGAAGTTTGCCCTTTTGTTTTTTAGCTTGTCCACTGTTGCTTTTGCTGTGTGTTTAAGGTCAGGGTCATGCTGAAAGGTAAACATCCTTCCAGATGTCTGCTTGTTGATAATGAGGAGTAAGATTTCTACAAAACATCTGTCTGAGTTTTCCATACCATCCAGGTCTTTTATCCTCATAAGCAGCCTGGTGCATGCTGAAGTCAAAAAAGGACCATAAAAGGACACTGCCTGGTATTAGGGTCATGCACAATATTGGGCTTTAGCCACTGGTGGTGGAAAGTGCACTAGAAAACAAGGGCTTAACTATCATGGGGGCAGAGGACAGAGCTTTCTTTTTGCCAGTCTCTGGTACAGCCCTTTTCCGTGCAGAGACTGTGTGTTACTGAATGAAAAACTAAAATAAATAAAAATACCTGCACATAAAGGCATACAGTTTCTTCAAAGTTATCTCGTCAAGAGATCTCAGTGTTTGAAATCTTTTTTATGGCTGGGTCGTGATCCATGTCCTTCAAGAACCAGAGGTCTTTCGTTGTCTAGGTCTGATTCTTTGACACGCACACTACCCTAAGGTGGCCTAAGCAAGGATATGAACTTATTATATGCAAGTCAGAATCAGTTGATTCGAAACCTAGTTTATGACTATTCTCAGTAGATTGTTAGCTTTCAGCTACTACCATTTAGTCCCTGCAAAGTTCCCCATGGCGGACAAGTTTTGTCTCTTCATACATTCTGTTTAATTAATTATTGTTTTGTTGGAAGGAGAATGAAATTAAATTTAAATTTAAAGAAATTAAATTTCTTTTGAGCAGTATTTGTTTAATCTGAATGAACCCACTTTACAAGCCTAATGCTGTTCTATCTGGTATTAACTAGAAGTTTGTTTTTGTTGGTTGTTTGTATCAGTTCATTTTGATGCTCGAGTGAGGTTATGACATTTCGAACTGGGCTATCTGAGGTAATTTGGGGAAATTACAGATACTTTATACCGTAATGTATTTTTTGTCAAATAGGTTATTGCAGTGCAAATCACAGAATCTACAGAAAACACACATTAAATTATTTGTGGGGCACTATTTACGAGCTTACTTTTCTAATTCTCACTAAACTCACAAATAGGACTTCTGCTTACTGTCAGAGAGTCTGGTGCATTTTGTGTCTTATTGTGGCCAAGAACGACTTACTTTGACAAGAAAGGTCATTTGACTGACATGCAAAATAACCAAACACGGGGTATCGTTTTGGCATGACGTCAAAGCAATATTTTCAAAATGAGGTAGCAACCAAAAACTTGCAGGAAACAAATGTGATGACAAACTCACTTTAAATGTACTAAAAGAAAACTCAGGGTTGTGGTATAGCCAATTAGAAAGCAACTGACAAAATTATCAGACTCTCCGCCTACGTGAAGGTGGAGAGCCTGAGGCCGAGACTAGTCATAAATAAAAGTCCAATTATTCTAAAATATGCTACTGAGAGGATTATGGCATATCGACCAGCCAATTAAAGATAAGGAACATGTTCATATGAACATAGTTAAGGTAATGTGCAATATGTTTTGATAAAGGCTTAAATCTGAACAAGTTAAGTCCAGTGACCACAAATACAGAATCTAAACTGTTACCCGATTTGTTAAGCTAATAGCTAGCTAAGCAAGCACCAGAATCACACACACAGTTGTCCTAGTTAGCACTGTTTTGCTGTTAGATTGATGCTGTTAGACTAATGCTACAGTGAGAGCTTATTTTCTTGCTTTGCTCTGCTCCATCTCAGCTACTACTCTGTTCAAACATATAGGCTTGTATTCACCAACTTTGCCCATTTGTTACAGCACTACCCTGCAAAGGTATAAAGCATAAGTATGCAGGGTACTGGGAGAGGGGGTGGTGTGGGTGGAAAGCAGGAGGCCATGTCCAATTTCATATTTGCATTCTGTGTAAATTTTACACCAGCCAGTAACACTTCTGGTGTAAAATTTCAGTTTGAGAGGTTCCTATGCTATTTTCAGTGGTTTAACAATAGTTAATACATTTAACAAGTTATTATACAACATATATTGTTGATGGTTTAACTTACAGCTAACGTTCTAAAACAGAGCATCACAAACTTAATGTCAGTCTTTTACAGAACATCTTGTATTTTTGTTGTGAGGCTACTCAGACTAGACGATAAACTCACAAGGACTGACCTGAAAACCCCCTCAAACACATACATGCACACACACCTCTTTTGATGGTCTCACTCGAACCTACTTGCACTGGAACATTTTTATTTCTGCCTCAGTACTGCTGTGCTCACATATTTTATAATCTGATTGTGTATACCTACATATCATAGCATGTTAAATATCTCTGCACCTTATCCTCAGTACCTCATGTTCAGAAATGAGTGCTGTGTTGGCGCTGCACTGTCCTGTCTCTTTACTGTGTCTAACGTCTGTTTTATTTATCGTATTTATTGTACTGTTTCTAGTTTAATGTTTGCACGCTTACATCTGCACGTTTGCCCTTTGTCTATACTGTATTATTTTGTTCCATGTTTCGCCATGGTCCTGGAGGAGCGTAATTTCGCTCCACAAATTTCAGCTACGAAAACGCACTCAAAACCCTAGATTTCCTGTTATCTGATACAAACAAATCTAAATTAGCCTGGACCTGTTCTTGCTTTCATACACACTAAAAAACATAGCAAAAATTCAAACTTGGGATGAAGCTGGAGCTGGAGTATCACTACAAAAAAGAAGCTGACTTGGATTTGTAAAGACGCTGACTTGAAGTCTGAATCCATAGATTATAAACATTATGAATGCTCTTATTTGCCTGGGTTCAACAGCTCCTGTATGTCTATTGCCCACTGCGCATGTGGAAAGCTGTTTTGGTAGCTGAGCATTTCACACTACAGAACTTAAAAATGCTTTGAACTGTAAAACTTGAACATGTTTGAACATTTTGTAAGGTCTTCCATCACTTTGGAGCTCAACCAGAAGGCTAAAGATGAATTATTTCTCCTTTCACATTGACGCATGATCATCCCTGGATATAATCGCATCAGATAGTGTAAATTTCAAATCAGGGTTAAAATGGGGACACTTTAAGAAGTAAGCACAATATAAAACAGAAAACTATTGTCAAAATTGTCACATGCTCCATCAAAAATACAGCTCACTGTGTTTAAGCTGTATTTCTAGTTTCAAATATCTCAGGGCCAGGGACAATAAACGTGCTTGCCTCTCCCTTCTTCACCACAGTTCGCCTATATAACCCACTCCTCTCTGTCCTGTCCAGCCCGGGCTCCAAACTTCCTGCTTCTTTGCGTCACACTGAATAACAAACGGTGGCTTTCCAAAATGTTTCTGTTCTCTTGGGGCTCTCTTTGCCCTGCTCTCAACCTGGCCAAAATTACTGGTTGGAGGAGCTAAGTAAGGACGAGCGGAACCACAAATTTCAGGGCCGTACAAAAAGATGTTACCTAAACAGACAGGCCAACTAAATATAGTGGTTGAAAAAGAACGGAGATGAAAGTCAGTATGCCGGTGACTATTTTTTTCCCCAGATTTCAGTTCTCACACTACATAAGATGGAATAAAACATAAAATAAACAACATTTTGTTTCATGATCATGGTCATTTGATTACTCTCAAACTGTAAAAATGCCAAAATGCCACTAAGCTTGAAGTCAGATTTCATTCTTCCCAAGTTCCACAGACCTCACATTCCATTAAATTAGCAAGAACAATATAGCATGACAAAACACTGCAATGCAAACACGTGGCAATGCATGCTGTAGAGATCGTCAGCTGCATTCTACAAACTATGCCATCTAAGTAGCTGCACTCTTTGAATATCAAAGATCACAATCAACTTAACCCACACCAGCATGTTTAAGAACATACCATGACAGACTCCCAGTTCCAGGCCTCCCACCTCCCCAGTGTAGTCTCATTAGTAGGTTGTGCAATGACAAAAATAAGCTATTTTCCATCATTAAAATTTTGTTAAAATCTTTGAATTAAACTTAAATCTGTCAGTATGTATGGTGTAACTTTGGTAAAATATAAAAAAATGATGAGATATTATTTGCAAAGAAACTAAGGATGCAAAAAGACATTAAATGTGCTATTCAATCCTCATAAATGTTATCTTTACAAAAAGGTTTTGGTTCTTAAAGATTTGTTACCTAGACTATCAGCATCATCAAGGACCATTTAATTTTTTTCATGTCCACCAAGAAACACAATCCTACAGCTTTACGAATGTGCCTTGACCCAGAATGCTTTGAAAGCCTCCCGCATTCATGTACTTGCTCTGGATGGAAATGAAGAAGGCAAAACAATCACCGCATGTGCACTTTGGTGCTGTGTGTTTTTGGCTAACTTACCTGTTCTAAGTGCTTCTTTGCTCTGAGGTTGGTTGTGAGGTGTTTCAATTCGTTCTGTCTTGTCCACGTTTTCTTTCTGTGTGTCCTATAAATAACAAATATATGAAGTATTTGACCGCATAACCATGACAGAAAATCAAACAACGTTTGTACCAGTAATTCCAATGAAAAAAACCTGAATCTAAAGCAATTCATATTGGCTACATACTGAACTGTCAACATTTCTTTATTACATGAATAGAAACTAACAGTGCGTGCACTGACGCATGTGAACAAACAATATGTTAAAGACTGTGAAATTGAAATCATGATTCAAAACCTTGGATGAGTGACACTGAATTTTCCCACCCAATTCTCAGGACAAAACAATAAAAATCAAAGCAGTCATTTCTTTCCAAAGCTATGCTCTAAATATATTAATCAGCCAACAAAAGGCTACAAAACATTGTTGAAACATGCCTAAATAATTAGTCTTTATCAATGTGTCTTAACAGCACATACAGTGTCTTAACGGCACTCCTTGAAAACTAGATAAGGCCCAGCACACTGAGGACAAAGGTGTTCTCAGTTAAGCAGATTTAGCGATGTCTCACTGTATCGGCATACCCAGATCTAAAACTTATCACAACATCATGTGCTTCTTTGTTTGTACCACTATGTAGAGTAGTTTCATTTTCAACTAAACTGGATGGGCCTCAGTCACTTTAGTGGCAATGAGAGGAGGCTGGTGCTTTGGTCATTCAATTTATTATGCAAGTTTACCCCAGACACTTTTTGAACTTGATTATTTTAAATCAGGAGTTCTTAATCTATAAAGGGATTTGTACAAGATAAGGTATGTATAATTTTCCAAAATTACCACAGATAACCCAGCCTGAAATGTCAGTTCATTATGTGATCAGCACCACAATGAACAAGAACACCAAAAATGTTGTAGCTTACATTAGGCCTGTAAGGAGGATGAAGGAAATGTGCCATATGTACTCCATTTTAGTGGTATATGCCATGTCTTCCAGTTGCCAAAAGGAATGTTTGGTCTGTCCCAAAGTTAACATATGCAGTTTTGTGTAAGTTCTTATTGGAAAATACGTTTCAAAGGGTGTCCCATTTCTAAAATGCACAACAAAGTGCTCAAGACCACACTAAAAGCACCCTTTCCCGAAGCACTGAAGCGGTATTCGGCTAGGCATACAGTACCGTGCAAAAGTCAGAGACCACCCTTCATATATTCAATTTCCATTCAAAATGGCCATTCAATACAATTTATTCAATCTGCAGGATTATTTTATCACAACTCCAAAGTTCAGTCTTAGAAGTTGGTTGCATTTTCTGCTTCTTGTGATCCAAGTAATCCCAAACACATTCAGTGATGTTGAGGTCTTGACTCTGGGTTGTCAGTTCATAGTTCTGAAAACAACAGCAGCTTCTTTGTTTGATTTGCAAAAATCTTTTAGGGCTATTGCTTTTCTCAGTAATGGCATCCTTTATATTCCTGCAGACCCACAGTGTTGAGTTGTCATCATTTTTCTAAATCTGAAGCAAAAGTGGAGCTTGATTTTGACTCAATTTGAAACCTATCTACCTTCTTTATTTGTACACTCTTTTGTCTTCACCATAAACACTGCCTTTTGGCCTGGCATATCTGCATTCCCGTGGCCTTAACGAGTACTTGCACTGGACATTGGGATAAGCCAGTTGTCTATTAGAAGGTTTTGCTATTCCATTAGCATGAGGTAAACTGAAACAGAACTACTATTACTGAGGCAGCTCCAGTGGCCAATTTGAACTCCGGGCATGAAGATAACACCCACAGCTCCAGCTCAAGGAGGCTCACGGAGGCAGCTGTTGTGTCAGTTACCCAGAAATTGTTGTTTAAAAATCTGAATATTTGGTTGTTTCAGGGAAATATTAAAGAATAAACAGACAATGGCTATAGATATTTAATTTTATTCAGTTGTTATGTTAAAGCTACGCACGCATTAGTTAGTTGTTACTAGTTAAGACATACAGATATGTGGTGCAATCAAATTTAGTAAAAGGATAGTTTGAAACTAACTATTGTTACCTGAGGACTATGCCCAAATTTAAACATAAACTTATGCAAACCTGGTGCAACCTGGTCCAGGTTCATCCAATTACAGATGACCACTGACCACACGATTATTACCTTCTGATTTGGACATGCTAGAACTGCACTTGACTGAAATCAAAGATCTCTTCCAAGGTAAAACTAATCCAACTCAAAAAAGGCAGAACACACACAATCTCTCGTTAGGTTCTGTTTGAATAACAGCATAAAGTATATTTGCTGTTTGACCAAGGAAATAAACAAATCAAGAACGGATGTGTAAAAACATGCAAATTAACAAGAACAGGTGAATGTTCAGACAGTATTTATGTGTCTGTAGGTGTGTGTTGTGGAAAGAACAGGCAGACTAACAAGCTTGGAGTTTGCACAACACTGGGCCATGTTCATCTGTTTGTTTTGCATAGTTGAGAGTGACCTTGAGCACCTGCTTTATAAGTATTAAGAGCTGCTATGGTAGAGTCAACAGCAAACAATTGCTCATCAGCCACTCTATACACAGGTGAAGCATGAATGCATGCTTTGGCACCCCATTCCAGAAAGGAAACTAAAAGATGAATAGAAAAATAGCTGCAAGTGTTCACAACGCAATGCCAAAAGTAGGGCCCAATCAATATGCTGCGCGCCTGATGAAATCAGCACATATTAAAAAAAATCTTGTAAAAATCTTACCAATAAAGAATTAAGCACTGAAATTTCAAAGTGCTTTCATAGCAATACAGAGACACTGTTAATGATATATGGAGAACCACTAATTTAAGGATAGTTTAATAGTTTGATGTTGTAATGTTAGTCTTTTCTGTGCATGGTACTTTTCTTTATAAGATAACTTCCGAAGAGAACTGATAAACTAAAAAAGGTAAAAACAAAACAAACAAAGGCAAAATAACAGAAACTAACAAAACTACAACAAATCTTTGAAGCTCCTCCCTTAGCAAACTCAAAATACTGGAGTCTGTACATTTTTAAATCATATAAAATGATATCAGCCAATCGGGTATCAGTATTTTTAGCTTCTTAAAAATCAGTATTGATGACAATCTGTTAAGCCATACCAAGCCCTACTTTGTACACCTTTATACGCCTTTGTACTCCATTCTAAGTAGCAGATTTGCATTGTAAAGAAACTAAAACAAATAGACTACTTTCATTTAAATCAGACACACGTGGAAAAAGAAGACGGCAAGTGAGCAAAGGAAAAAATACATCAGTAGCCCATCACCATAATCCTATACTACAGTATAATTACAGGCCTTTCAGCCAAGACCCAGCTGAGACAGTTTTAACTCTTTCGCTCTGTGTGCGCACGCGTGCATGTGTGTGCTTTGGTGCTTTGGCCTAGCCTTTGTTTGTGTCAGGTTTCTGCTTCCACACATGCTGTCCTATGGTTGAAAACCAGCATGGGTTTTCAGATCGTGACCACAGAAATGTTGGCCAAATGAACTCCAAAGAACCCTCTAGTATTGTAACTTCTTTCTCACATACATACATACATATATGTCTAAAACACAATGACTTGCATGACATCTTGTACCAAATAGCCTACTATTCCTGACCCACTTCTATCTTCCTGACACAATTAGGGTTGCTAGACCTCATGTGTTGTGCCATCAGAGACAGTCACTACTTAAGAATAAAAAAGTGACCTAAACATAAGACAATAAAACTGAAAAACTCGCCAATAAAAAGCATACAGTGCTGGGCAATCTTGATAAAAGTCATTATCCCTATTATATATGTGTATAAATATAGACATTTCAGCAGAGTATTTTTTATTTTGTTGTTATTCACTCTAAAAAGTCAGACATAGAAGGAAAAACAAGCAGTGAATAAACATCAAAAAGCACAGCAATAAAAGAGCAGAAATGACCTACTTCCCCTGGAGCTACTGTCTCCCTCTCCTACTCCAATGCACAGAATGAGTACTATTCTACCTCTCAGCAGTTGCCCATACATACACACACTCACACACACATCCTCGGGATGACCACTCCCCCAGTCCACACTTCCCCTCCCTCCTTTTCCTTCCACTCTGGCTAACTCAAGTCTCAGTCTCCGCCTCCGACGCACCAGGTAGGCTGCCACAGTACACACAACATTTTACATTTCGAAACTAATGGAACTTTAACAGACCATGATGCATTTCTGCTATTTTCAGAAAAGCACGTCAAAATGACATATTTGCAAGAATTTTAACCTTATAGAGTCATTTAAAAGTCTCTTTAACCACTGGATTCACTGCTGTAAAACTAAAAGAATGTTATGAATCTAGAAGAATGTGGACTGTGAAAAATACAGATTTATACAGTTATTCTACAACATAGCCATGCTTATCATTTACATTAATTCCAAATAAATCTCAGCTCATAATAATCCACAATCAAGCTCCATATTTTCCTATTTCCCTGCCTGCAGCCTTTTTTACTGATAGCAACAATGATCTCCTCAACCACAGATTCGCTGCTGTGGTAGATAAGGGGTTTATGACGTATGATCTTTCAGCTGAACGTTCAGAAAAACAACTCTGTGAGATAACTCAAAAGAAAGAAAGAGATGCTAGGAGATAACAGTAGATGGAGGTCTTGGAGTAGCTACCTTCCAAACATTTCCCATCTGCCTTTAATTTCACATTTTATCCAAGAGGGCTCATATTTTCCTCTAAACTGTCTTTGAAAAATTTTGTCCTTAGCAAGCATTTACCTTACCTCCTTAGAAAGAAATAATGCCATAAAAGGTATCATTTATCCAGGCTCTCTTTTTGCCAGGGTGAAAGACTTATCTTTATACACACACACACACACACACACACACACACACACACACACACACACACACATACAACACCAGTCAAAAGCTAGACACACCTATTCCTAGAATGCATTTCATTATTCCTTTACCATTTTCAACATTTTCAAACAATAAAAGACATTAAACCTATAACATAACACACACTGAAAAATGCAGAAACCACAGAAGTGTTAAACAAATCGAACTACGCCACCCTTTGCCTTGACGTAGCTTTACACAATTTGCATTCTCTTAAGCAGCTTCATGAGGAGCCACCTAGAATGCCTTTCCAACAGGACCAAAGAAGATACATATATGCTGAAACCTTGCTGTCGCTGAAAACCACTTGTTCTGGGCATTTAAGTATATACAGATTCAATTTTTTGGATTTAAACTTGTTTTAATTCCATAAGCATCATAAGCCTGTAGATCAAAATGTATTTATCATTATAAAAGATATATATCAACAATCTGGGATTCTTTTCGGTTAGGATTACACTGGAAGCTACACACATTTTTACATTATCAATTTCACAATTTATAAATCACAGCTTAATTGTCAATTTCAACCCCATAGATCTTAATTTATAATCATCTCATTTAAATCGCAATAAAAATTACAATTACATATTTTCTCCAAATCATTCAGACCTACAGAATAAGCCACCAATGACACTCTAGTGAACCTACACTTCTATTACCCACAGATGTTTCCAATTTTTTTGTCCACACCCTACATTTTTGCATATTCTTTTCACTCTCTCTGTTAAATTCTAAACACTGCTCTACTGCAGACTCTGTCGTACATCACTGAATTCCTGGAATGTTACCCGAATGCCTGCCTGCAAAAATCTTGACATGTATCAATGTCCCTCAAAGATGCAAATTAGAAAAGGCAGATAAGATCCCATCGTGCTGGAGCTTTAAGCCTGTCTAGACATAACTACCTTTGGAAACATAGTGCATGAGCCAATTTAAGCTTCCACAAGAGAGAACCTGTACAATCAAATCAAACACACATACCTTTGTCTGGGCTTTTGTTCCTGGAAAAGTAGTAATTCTATACACAGAAACACTGACTCTACTGATTGCTTCTGTTATAGGATAAGGGGTTTTATGTCAAATGTATTGAGGAAAAAGTATATTATGCTTTTGATAAACTACACTCAACTACAAATAATTATATAAAAGTTCCTGGCATTATGCTTTTAACTTGCAGTACAACCTGTTCCTACTCAGTCAAGGCCAAAGGTTAGGATCAGTTCAACAGTCAGTGCTGATCACAGGAAACTGACGTCCTGATTTTGAAAATTTGTTAATTTGTTGATTGTATAATAATTTATAACTTCACTTTTGAATTTGCAACAAACAAAACCAGATTCAATGAGAACTCAACTTCCAAAGAAATCAAGTTTTTCCTTTTTTTTTTGAAAACTTAGGCATTTAGAAAAGCCATTTATTTATTTTTCAGTTATTTTGAAAGACAGTAACTACAACATACTGTTTTTTGGTAAAAAAATAAAAAGTGTGCTTCAGTTTGAGACTTCATTTACAGCTACAATTGTTATTTTATTTCTTTCTACTTCCATAATAAAGGGTAGGCCATTCCACTTATTGAGCTTAAATTGCCATACTGAAATTCATAAGGAGCCACTGGGTGGCAGTGAATGCTGGATAATGCAAACCTCAGCAGCACCCACTCAAGCTAGGACAGACAAAATATAAGCAGGAAAAGATACATTCCAAAAAGCAACTGAGTGAAAAATGTAAGCTTTAAATGGTAACCGAAACGCTTGTGCGAAAGGGACAAGAGGAAAGGAGAGAGGGAAGAAAATGGAGCAAACAGAAGGGAGATATGCATTTTTCACATTCTTCACATTTCCGTGACCACAGATGTCTGGGTCTGTATATGTATTCAACAAAATGAGTCAGTGTGAATAAGAGCTTGTTAACAGGTATGCTTAAGAGACTGTTTAGTCATATAGTTGTCATTGTGGGGCGTAACTGATCCCTCATTGGCAAGACTGCTTCTCCAACGACTGGTTTGCACTTCAAATACTTGTGTAACACGTAACATGCATTACTCAAGAAAAGTAGACAATATGTTCAGCACCCCAGCATAACCCCAGGGCTTAGCCGTGCTGTGTTATTTATTCTATCTTAGTTTTCCTGTTTGTGTGACTTTGTTTCTGGAATTTGGCACTAGACTTCCTTAACTGCCTATGAGTTATGCAAAGCTTGTTAAAGGAGAACTAATTGTTCACAATTTCTCCAGAATTAAATTGCTGAGATGAAAGTCATTCAGAGTGTTCTGATGTCTAAACTTACTGACTCTGATTTCTTTACAGTGGCAATGATAGGAACCAGGGGTCATAATCACTATACAGTGAATACATTTTATTTACTATGGGAAAATAACCAGAATTAAATTACTACCATTAATTTTTTTTCTTTTTGAAATAGACATTTTTAGGCTGTCTATTTAAGACCTTCTATTGTAAAACAATGTCTCAGGCATCAGGCAGCATGTTCATAACCAGTCATAACACACTAACTTTTGTGATGGCCCGGCGATATAATCGATAATTAGAACTTATGGACAAGAAAAAAAACTACCACAGTATCTGATGGTCTATCATTAAAACCAGTAATCCCATCCCTTGTGGCACATGACACACTTAGCCACTTCCTCATTCCACAGACTACCCGACACAGCTAATTTTCCTAACATGCTAACAGCATACTGCAAGGTGCACCTCAGTGGCTCGTCAAGCTATGCTCAGAACGCCTACCTTTCACTTTCCACTGACAGCAGACTAGCTTTATCAGCTCATAGGAAAGGTGTGGCATCCCAGTCCAGACTGCCAGGGCCTGCAGGTGTTTCTGCTGTATAGCCTTAAGCAGTTCTTTGGTAACTGAAACTGTGATTTATACTGTTTTATACATGTTGAAACTGTTTATCCTGTTGCATGACTTTCAGACTGGATTCACTGTACTGCTCTGACTTGATGGAAAATGTTTTTTTTGCTTAGGTAAATGTTAATTTTGCCAGCTTTAGAGTGTTAATGTGGTGTAATAGGTTCGCAATATTGTGGGGAGCTCCCTTGTATCTACACTCACTAGCTATTTTATCAGGTACATATACAATAAATGTGCACTTTGTGGGTTTCCAAATTAACTGCAAGTTATGTACAAGCTGATAGTCCAGTTGTGCAGCAACCGATGGGCTACAGTCAGTAATTTTTACCTCCAAAGTGCATCCATACAGTAATGCCCAATCCTGTGTCTTATTTTTACCCCAGCCCCCCTGTTTTTGAGTGTCACTTGGCCCTTTGGAACTGAGTTACAAGGGGTAGTGGTTGAAATCTTCCCTTACGAAATGGGACAACCTTCAAACAAAAAAGAACACTGCTTCATTAACAGGCTACTAGCGGTGCTCTGTAGGCAACCCCACCAGTCTGCAGTGTTAGCAGAGGAGCTGTAAAGTTCAGCAACATGCTGGTCTTTAGTTAAATTTAGGGAATCATATGCCTTCAAAGAGCGGGGGATGCAACAATTATTTATTATCACCCACCCCTAATTCTTCCATGATATAAAGCTGAAGTCAGCTATTCGCCAGCTTCTTGTTCACATTTTCCCGTTCCACCTTAAATGGTACAGTACTTATATTCTGACGCCCAGCTACAGAGACATCAGCATACTGCTAGCAATTTCTAATGCTTGTTATAACAAAAAGCAACGTAATCCACCTAACCGACATTAAACTTGGATAATACAATGGTTATCGTAATTTTTAACGTAATTTAATACTTACCTTTGTGAGTTGTCACTTGCACAGCCATCTTTGCTGTTTTTTTCAGTGAGCCTCTAAAAAAACCTCCATTTGGAGAGCCATGTAGCCCTATTTCACCCTACCCCTCTATCTCAACAAAAATCGGTACAACCTACCCCTAGGCGTGAACATGCAAAACTGTGGGGTAAGGGCTATGTTGTAGGTGCAAGGGGTGAAATGGAATTGGACCTAAATGTACCTAATAAAATAGCCTAGTGAATGCAAATACACTGTAGACTCACCTAGTAAACTATCAAGTGAGATTGTTCCATCTTGTTTTCATATTCTCCTGGTGCAAATGCATACACATTCTAAACCTATGTCCATGATAAGACCAAGACCACCAATCGTCACCTTTCACTGTTCACTCACCTCTAAGTCCAAGCTTCTTTGAGGATTATGATGTTGTTCCACTGGCCGTCCAGTTAACTGAATCTTCTCCAGAGCGCCTGGGTAAAGGTAGAAAGGTTCAACTTCAACAATATAGATTTCAATGACAGACACTAGATGGCAGAAAGGAATTTTTAGAGGTTTAATTCAATATTTGAAGTATTATGGAAGCAACAAGAAAATATAAATATTGTACTGTAATAATACGTATTTATGTACACACACCCCAACCAAGCAGTTTATTAGGAATACCTGTACACCTACTCATTCACGCAATTATATAATTAGCCAAACATGTACTAGCACACACACACACACACACACACACACACACACACACACACACACACACATTTTCTAAGATGCTTATCCTTCTGGGTCGCTGGGGGAGCTGGAGCCTATCCCAGCAGTCATTGGGGGAAGGCAGGATACACCCTGGACAGTTCACCATCGCAGGGCAGACAGACAGACATACACATTCACACACACAGTCACACCTAGGAGCAATTTAGCGTGTCCAATTGGCCTGACTGCATGTCTTTGGGCTGTGGGAGGAAACCCACGCAGACACGGGCAGAACATGCATACTCTACACAGAAAGGACCCTGGTCGCCCGGCCAGGAATCAAACCCAGGCATCAAACCCATCTCCTGGGATTTTTTTATGTACAACAATCCTTAAAGTTTACTCAAACATGGCACAATAAAGAAAAAAATATCCAGTGAGCAGCACTTCTGCAGAAAGAAAAGCCTTGTTAATAAGAAAGGTCAACAGAGAAAGGCCAGACCGTGTTGAGCTGACAGAAAGGCTAAGGTAACTCAGATAACCACTATGTACAATTGTGGTGAGCAGAAAAGCATCTAAGAATGCACAACACAACAAATCTTGAGGTGGATGGGCTACAACAGCAAAAAACATCAGGTCCACTCCTGTCAGCCAAGAGCAGAAAGCTGAGGCTCCAGAGGGCACAGGCTCACTAAAACTGGACAGACCAGAAAAAACAATCTGGTCTAATGAACCTTGATTTCAGCTGAGGCACACAGATGGTGGGGTCAGAATGTGGCGCCAACAGCATGAATCCATTGACCCAATCTGCCTTGTCCTAACAGTCCAGGCTGGTGTAATGGAATGTTTTCTTAACGAACTTTGGACTCATTAATACAAACCAATCATTGCTTGAATGACACAGCTTATTTGAGTATTGTTGCAGACCATGTGCATCCCGTCATGGCCACAATTTACCCTACTCTCCTAATGACTACTTCCACCATTCCAGTCATCTCAAACTCTCAAATGAGTTCAATGTTGTTCAGTGACCTTCCCAATCACCAGATCTGAATCCAAAAGAGCACTTTTGAGATGTGGTAAAATAGGAGATTCGCAGCATGAAAGTAGACCTGAAAAACCTAGCAGGAATTGCGTGATGCAATTATGTCAGCATGGATCAGAATCTCAAAAGAATGTTTCCAACATCTTGTGGAAACCATGCCACAAAAATTGAGGCTGTTTTGAGAGTAAAGGAAGGCCCAACCCAGTATCACTATAGTGTTCCTAATAAAGTGCTCAATGAGTTGGCATATGGCCAGATGAAAAAAATGTTTTCTGAATTGAATAGCATATCAGTAAACCATTTGGCAAATTAAGACAGAAGCTTGGTTTTCTGTATTGAAATGTTTCCCCATGAAACAAAACATGATTTTGGAGTGTGTCTCTGGGAATTTTTGTCCATTTATCCAGAAAAGTATTTGTGAGGTCATACACTGGTGTTGGACAAGGGCCTGGCCCTCTGTTCTAGTTCATCCCAAAGGTGTTCGTTGGGGTTGAGGTCAGGGCTCTGTGTGGGTGAGTCAAGTTCTTCCACAACAAACTCACCCACCCACCGGGGCACAGTGACACTGCAACAGAAAAGGGCCTTCTCCAAACTGTTCCCACAAATTTAGAAGCATACAATTGTCTAAAACTTTACACTTGGCACAATGCAGTTAGGCAGGTAATGTTCTCCTGGCATTCGCCAAAACCCAGACTCCTCCATCAGACTGCCAGATAGAGAAGCATGATTCATCACTCCACAGAATACATTTCCACAGCTCCAGAGTCCAGCGGTGATGTGCTTTACACCACTCCTCCCAACACTTGGTACTGTGCATTTGGATCTTAGGCTTGAGTGTAGCTGCTCAGTAATGGAAACCCAGTTTGTGAAGCTCCTAACGTGCAGTTCTTTCGCTGCTGTTGCTTTTCAGAGGGAATTTGGAACTCTTTAGTGAGTGATTCAGCAGAGGATAGGCACTGTGCGCTTTGGCACTAGACAGCCCTTCTCTGTGAGGTTGCATGGTCTCTAGGTGCTTCCATTTCTTTCTTTCTAAATTTCACAAACTGACTTGGCAGAGGTGGTATCCTATGACAGTGTCATGTTTAAAGTCACTGAGCTCATCAGTATGACTCATTCTATTGCCAGTGTTAGTCTATCAAGACTGCATGGCTATGGCCTTAATTTTACCCACCTGTCAGCAATGGGTGTGGCTGAAACACCTGAACTCAATTAGGAGGGGTGTCTATATACAAATATAATTTACACTAACTGGCCATGCTTTCTTCATTTTATCCGGTTCTATGCAGGTGCACTTTGTAGTTCTACAATTACAGACTGCAGTCCATCTGTTCCTTGTTGTGGTATTATTTAGGTGGTGGATCATTCTAAGCACTGCATAGTGAAGGTATGTTAGGATGTGTTGCGCTGGTAAGAGTGGATCAGATATAGCAATGTAACTGGAATTTTTAAACACTGTGTCCACTCTATTAGATACACCTACCTTGTTGGTCCACCTTGTAGATGTAAAGTCTGACTGGTTGGCCCACCCTTAGCAGCAACAACTGCAATCAAGTGTTTGCAATAACTGGCAATGAGTCTTTTACAGCGCTATGGAGGAATTCTGGCCCACTCATCTTTGCAGAATTGTTGTAATTCAGCCACATTGGAGGGTTTCCGAGCATGAACCACCTTTTTAAGGTCATGCCACAGCATCTCAATCAGATTCGGGTCAGGACGTTGACTAGGCCACTCCAAAGTCTTAATTTTGTTTTTTCTTAAGCCATTCAGAGGTGGACTTGCTGGTGTGTTTTGGATCATTGTCCTGCTGCAGAACCCAAGTGCGCTTCAGCTTGAGGTGGCGAACAGATGGCGGGACATTCCCAGTTCTTTTGGGGTCTTTTGTGACCTCTTGGATGAGTTGTCGCTGCGCTCTTGGGGTAATTTTGGTCGGCTGGCCACTCCTGGGAAGGTTCACCACTGTTCCATGTTTTCGCCATTTGCGGATAATAGCTCTCACTGTGGTTCGCTGGAGTCCCAAAGCTTTAGAAATGGCTTTATAACCTTTTCCAGACTGATAGATCTCCATTACTTTGTTTCTCATTTGTTCCTGAATTTCTTTGGATCACAGCATGATGTCTAGCTTTTGAGGATCTTTTGGTTTACTTCACTTTGGATTTCTTTTTCCCCTTAATAATAAACACCTTCATTTATAAACTGCATTTTGTGTTTACTTGTGTTATCTTTGTCTAATATTTAAATTTGTTTGGTAATCTGAAACTTTTAAGTGTGACAAACATGCAAAAGAACAAGAAATCAGGAAGGGGCAAACACTTTTTCACACCACTGTACATATATATACATACATATACATATTTTTTTTTTCTCTCTTCCTCAGCATACTTTTTTTCTCTCTTCCTCTCTCTCTCTCTTTCTATCCAAACAGGATTATATTATTGAAGACGATTATTACCTTGAATCTCTTCATCTCTCAGTTGGCGAATGGCTGCACGAATTAGTTTCCTCTCTTCATACTCTGTTGTACTTCGTAGCTACAGATAAAGAGGACAAAACTCTAAAACAGTCTCAAACAAATGGACTGAGTGACATAGTGACAAAAAAAGTTAACAAAAAAAAAGAATTCAATAATAATTTTGAGTCAATTTATTAATTTTGTTTGCTATGTTTTTTCAAATAAAACTAGATAATTATGTAATAGCGTAATACAGGTGACAGTTATACAATATTAAATTATTAAACAGTAAATATTAAATTGCATGAAATAACTCAGTTATGCAACATAATTACAGTCTTTGGTCACCTTTTATTTGCTTTCAAGTCATAATTACCATTAAGTACAAGTTTATTTTTAGCATCAGGGAAAAAGTAGAAATCATATTTAACAGAAAATTACATAGAGGCCTCAGTACAAATACAACCCCATTTCCAAAAAAGTTGGGACGCTGTGCAAAATGTATATGAAAATAAAGTGCAATGATGTGCAAATCATTTAAACCCTATATTTAATTGAAAATAATACAAAGACAACATATCAAACCCTAAAACTGAGAAATTCTACTGTTTTTTGAAAAATTTTTGCCCATTTTGAATTTGATGGCAACAACACGTTCCAAAAAAGTTGAGACAGGGACAGGTTTATCACTGTGTTGCATCACCTCTTCTTTTAACAAACTCTGTAAGCATTTGGGAACTGAGGAGACCAACTGCTGTAGTTTTGAAAGTGAAATGTTTTTCTGTTCTTATAATCTGATATAGAATTTCAGCTGCTCAAAAGTTCAGGGTCTCCTTTGTCATATTTTTCGTTTCATAGTGTGCCAAATAATATCAGTGGCCAGACAGGCCACTTTAGCACCAGGACTCTTAACACAGAGCAACGATGTTATATTACATGCAGAATGTGGTTTAGCATTGTCTTGCTGAAATAAGCAAGGCCTTCCCTGAAAAAGACATCGTCTGGATGGCAGCAGATGTTGCCAAAACATGTATATATTGTTCAGCATTAATGGTGCCTTCACAGATGCGTACGTCACCCAAGCCATGTGCACAAATGCACCCCTACACCATCATGAATACTGGCTTTTGAACTGTACACTTATAAAAAGCTGAGTGGTCTTTAACCCGGAGGACACAGTATCTACGATTTCCAAAAAAAATTTCAAATTTTGATTTGTTGGACCACAGGACACTTTTCTACTTCGCATAAATCCATTTTAAAAGGAGCTCAGGCCCAGGGAAGGTGGCAGCGTTTCTGGTTCCTGTTTATATATGGTTTCTTCTTTGTGTTTTGGAGTTTTAACTCACATTTGTAGATGCAGTAATGAACTGTTTTCACAGACAGTTGGGTTTCAGAAGTGTTTCTGAGCCCATGCAATGATTTACACTAGAGAATCATGTCTGTTTTTAATGCCTCCTGAGGGCCCAAAGATCAAGGCAAGCCAATGCTGGTTTTTGGCTTTGTCCCTGGTATATAGAGATTTCTCCAGATTCTCTGAATCTATTAATGATATTTTTGCACTTAGTCTTTCACAGAGTGAACTCCTCCTCATCTTTACTTCTGAAAGACTCAGCCTCTCTGGGATGCTTTTTTATACCCAATCATGTTACTGACCTGTTGCCAATCAACGACTAGGTGTTTTTTTAGCATTACACAACTTTACCAGCCTTTTGTTGCCCCCGCCCCAACTTTTTTGGAACATGTTGTTGGCACCAAATTCAAAATGGGCATATATTTTTCAAAAAACAATAAAATTTCTCAGTTTCAACATTTGATATGTTGTCTTTGTACTATTTTCAATTAAATATAGCGTTTGGAAATGGGGTTGTACAAATATATTTTTCAGTATTTAGTGTGTCCATCCATTGCCTATATTACAGCTCCCATTCTTTTTGAAAGACTTTGCTTTCAGTTTTTCAAAGAAATCTACAGGGACATTTTTTTTTACCAATTTAAAGTTTAGCCTTAGAATTTGGTTGCATTTTTCTGCTCTTCACAATCTGAGTGAACTCAAACACATTAAATGATAATGAGTTCTGGGCTCTGGGATGGCCTGTCCATTGTTCTGAGAACATCAACATTTTGTTGCTTGATTTAGTTTCCTCAAATTTAAATCATAATAAAATATCTTTCATTTTTCCTTATAGACATAAATGTAGTTTCAACTGAAAAAAAATTTAGCATCCTTCATTTTTCTGTTTGGTTAACAGAGCTATGAGAGGGAAATAATTCATTTAAAAGGACACCATGGGCAATACTCGTAGTCCTTATCTTTCTGTTTCTCTCTTTGCCTCAAACAGGTCACTGTACCTTTGACATTTATGGTACCAGCTATTTTCATTGTACGGACACTTACCATTGCAGAAAGCTCTTCAATATCCTGAATGTCCTGAAGCTTTCTAGAAAGCAGATCCAAGGATGCTGCCAATTCAGGCCTGTGAATACAAATACGCTCACATTTACACACATTTACACAGACACACATGCAAATTTGGCATGTGCCATTCAACTACAACAGGCTAGTGTTGTGAGTGACAAGTTCTGCTGCGCTCAGCAGCTGCAAGGTCACATACCACAAAGTTTTTCTTGGCAAAAAAAAAAAAACTCCCGTCTAAGAAAATGATTCAAAATGGAAAATGTGACTCTGGAGGACGGAGAGAAAGTCTCCCTATGCTTGGAGATGTGTGGGAGAAAATGATAGACTCACTGCACTGGGATCAACTGCATTCTTATAAGCAGAGGACTAACAAACTGTACCCTACAACAATGAAAGGCATTCTTGGAAATCAAAAATTTCTATTTTTTATAAAACTAAAATGATTCTTGAGCTAAATTCACTTGCAATATGGGCCAGAGATAGAAGACTTGGCGGTTACAGCGCTACACCAGTTAAACAGGATTTAATTTTGCTCTCTTTATAATGAAAAATGCAGATGGTCAGTGTTCAACAAGTACTGACAATATACATGATATGTTCAAAAAAGCATAATGTTTTGTGACATAATGTATCACAATAGCGATTATACACATATATATATATATATACACAGATATACACACCGATCAGACATAACCCCATAACCCCCATTATGACCCCACTTGACGTTTCCACGCTCATTGTCCATTTGATCAGCTCCACTTACTATATAGAGGCACTTTGTAGTTCTACAATTACAGACTGTAGTCCATCTGTTTCTCTGCATACTTTGTTAGCCCTCTTTTACCCTGTTTTTCAGTGGTCAAGACCCCCATGGACCCTCACAGAGCAGGTACTATTTGGGTTTCGGATCATTCTCAGCATTGCAGTAACACTGACGTGGTGGTGGTGTGTTAGTGTGTGTTGTGCTGGTACGAGTGGATCAGACACATCAGTGCTGCTGGAGTTTTTAAACACTGTGTCCACTCACTGTCCACTCTATTAGACACTCCTACCTCGTCAGTCCACCTTGTAGATGTAAAGTCAGAGATGATAGCTCATCTGCTGCTGCACAGTTTGTGTTGGTCATCCTCTAGTCAGTGGTCACAGGACGCTGCCCACAGGACGCTGTTGCCTGGATATTTTTGGTTGGTGGACTATTCTCAGTTCAGCAGTGACACTGAGGTGTTTAAAAACTCCAGCAGCACTGCTGTGTCTGATCCACTCAGACCAGCACAACACACATTAACACACCACCACCATGTCAGTGTTACTGCAATGCTGAGAATGATCCACCACCAGGGTTAAAGGGGGCTAACAAAATATGCAGAGAAACAGATGGACTACAATCTGTAATTGTAGAACTACAAAGTGCACCTATATAGGAAGAGGAGCTGATAAAATGGACAATAAGCATAGAAACAAGGAGATGGTCATAATGTTATACCTGATCGGTGTATATGTAATTGACACTTAACATTAAATTCATAACTGATTTGATCATTTGTCATACCGAAGCTGATTTTCCTTATCCTCATGTCTGTGTTCTTGAGCACGTCTGAAGCGCTTATTGGTCAGTGCAGCTTCTATATCTTCAATCTCACGTCGTCGCAGCTCCCGAATTGCTGTCCGTATGAGACGACGCTCTGCCATATCCACAGTGCCATCGAGCTGAAAACCCAAGAAGTGTAACAGAAATATTAATAGTTATACTACAGTCCTTACAAACAAGGCTTGGAATTACATACAGACATTATGTACAAAAAAAGCACAAAAGCATATACGGACATTCTGTACCCTAAAATAACCCAACAGTGAATGAAAAGTTTTTAACTCTTACAAGTTGCAAAACAAGTTGTTAATTCCCACAATCAACTAGCTAATCCACAAACCTTTACTGACATGCAGAGACTGCTCCAAATGCAGAAGCATCACAGGATTTCTGCAAAGGTTTGCTTAAAGAATAACAAATGTGAACAAATAGATAAATTACATTCAGTTTATGAAAAAATTATGTCCAGTTTATGTGAAAAAAATCCCCCTAAATATCTAAATTTCATGCGTTTCCATATTTACTACTAATGGAACAGCTAACAGCAAACTAAGAAAAGCTTAACAGCCAGTTTGGTGTTGAGTTAGGTTAGTCATTCAAAATCTCCCAGTGCATCACCCACTAAGCAAGCATTTTACAACTGTAAAACCAATTCATAATAATAAACTGAAAATTGAGGTACGACATCATTCAAGACATCTGCTGTATTATATGTTCAACTTTCTACTTTTTTTTATACTTTCAACAGATTTCAGTGGTAAGTCAAGTAATATGTTAATCTTACACTGGAGTGAGACTCAAGGTAACAGTTTTGTTTGTCTATTCCAGTTAGAGGGTAATATGACAGTATTTTATCATTATCATGATAAATTTTATTATTGTGATACACAATATGCTTTTCAATGAATGTCATCAATATCATCAGCATTTAAAGAATACTGACTGCATATTTCATTAAAAAGAGAGTATAAGTTGTTCTTTTTGATTGGACTTTTTATTCCAATATTTTATGTTTTTTTTTTTTTGTTATATTTTAAATATGCACTTCTATAGTTGTAGTCCTATTGATGATTACACCTCATTGACCATGTTCATTTTCCCAAGTAAAATAACTAGCCAAAGCCAATTCTAGCTTGATGCGACATTCAGTTTTGCATAAACTGGCAAAAGTATGCTGAAGCAACAGTAGCTTTTAGTTAGCTTTTAGGGTTACTTTGTTGTAAAAAGCCTGATCATGTAGTAACAACTTGACAATACAAACTCTCCAGCTGGGTGTCTAAAATATGACAATCTAATTGAGTGCCAAGTCATTCTTGGGCACAATGCCAGCAAGATACACGCACAGAGCTGCCTTCTGCCTTCGTTTGTAAACACTGATAAGGCTGCTCAAGCTGTAGCTTGTTTCCTTGTGATACAGTAAGTGTGAAAGCGCTGTTCAACACAGACATACTAAGAGTCACCATTCAGTTTGTCTTTGCCATTAAGTTTAGAAAACATTTACAAGATAAGGGAGAAGGAGTGGTGGAGTAAACCACCTTTTACGGAAAATGACTGCTTGAGAATGAGCATCATGTGCAAAGGCCCAGAATGACATTAATTAAAGAGTCATATAGGATAGTTTGTGTGTTATAAGAAGGGCAGCAGTGATTAGTCAATAAGGTGAATTCTTCACTGATGATGTATTAATGCTCAATTTACTCTAATACAAAAGCTCTCTATACTGCTCTACAATAGTTAAATGATACAGACAAGTTTGCAGACAAGACAAGTGGTATAACGACACACATTTTCAGTGTCAATTTAATTTTTGATCCTGAGGCCAAGATTTTACTTTTGATAAAGTAAGTCTTAAATATCACAATCCTTAGAATTCATAATTGACTATATATTAAAAGCCCAGTCATTTGAGCGTGGGTGTGTCCACTTTTCGCCCACTTTTCGCCCACTTTATATTGAAGGGAAACACCTAGATTCCTAGTTTTAATCAGTAACAGTGGTTTTAACAAATAGACCCGAAATGCCTCTCATCCATCACATCTCTAAACATTCCCTCCTGAATCAAGCAAAGAAAAACTTTGACAGAACTCCTCAAAATAAACCAGCACTGAGAACAGCACTGGCAGTAAATTGTTTCATTCCTGAAGCTGAACAAGTTTTGGATTCAATTATGCGAAGATCAAACAGCTCAATATCATAACTATTAACAGGCAGATTTATGTTGGTTCTGCCATAATCTAAACTTTAGTGTACTTTTTTACTGTATTTTTGAAAAATTCTACTGGTTAAACAGAACTGTACAGCACTCACATTTATGATTAAAACATTATGGGTAAACATAAATATTAAAACACTCATACACAATAATGTTTGTACTGTTTGATTAGTTTACTAAAGACCTTGTGTAAAAGGAAACAAGTCCTCTTCAGCATCTATCATTGCTCTGACTATATTCTGAACCATGTTTAAAATTAGCTCTGACAACCCCTAGTGTTGATGTACCCCTATATTTGTGTTGATGTAGTGGAATTGGTTTTAGCAAATTCGACTAGGCCTCATATTGGGAACATGTAGCTCACTCACAGTCAATGCAAGTGATATTAATCTTTGTTAATAACCTACTTTAAGCATAAATTTTTTACACTTTAACCGATGACTTACATTGATTTTTTTTACATTTCAGTATAATGCTATTTTCTTCTAGTTTTTCTAGTTTTACAGTTTCGTACCTCTTTCATTAAAAAGCCTTAAACGCATCTATGTCCTTGATTAATGTAAAATATGGTTTCCAGAATATATTTGTTATTCATTTTAAATTGGCTTGCATGCATATTTTGCATGTTGGCCAATTTAAAATGTTCCCAAACATGTATATCCGCACTGAACATTTTGTAACACCAGTTTATTTAGAATGAAAAATGATGTTTAAATACATTTCTCTGGCTGCTTTTCAATATTCTGTTGATTTTACACTGTAAAAAAAGAGAAACTTTTTTTAAAACTGAAAAAAGCAAGTAATCTGTTAAATTTAAAACCCAAATTATTCTGTTAACTTTAGAAGTTCAATGAACTCAAAATTAAGTCAACTAGGTTACTTACTTTAAGTTAAAAATCTGCAACATGTTTACAGCATAGCCTGTTAGTACAAGTGCTACAGATACTATGTGGTACAGAAAGTTTAATGAACAAAGCAACAATAAGAGAGGTGGAACTTTCTCAGAATTTTGTCAATTGCAGTACACTACAGGAAAGGTCAATTTAAATACACCATATGAAGTACTGGGGCGATACGCTGCCTATTATGTTGTTGCACCAGACAATAAGAAATCACTTAATCATAGAGATGTAAAATGTTTGATGGCTATGTTGTGATGGGATACAATGAATGAAAACAGCTAAAGCCATAATGGTTAAATTAGTCGATTAAAGGACTGATCAACTACAGAAGTAAATCATTAGTTGCAGCCCTAGTTTTGAAACTAGCATCAATGGTGTAAAGGTTCATCCTTAATGAGCAAGCAAATCATGTGAAGTGTGTTCTATAAGACGGCTGCTTTTTTGTCAGCATGTCAGTCACCATGTCATTGTCTCTCCACCAACACAAAAGCTTCTGCCTTCTTGGTCATGAGTCACTCTAAGGAAATTGTTTTGCTGTCATTAACACATTTGTTACTATTCATTTCGGCGTGGTCTTAAATGAACAGTGTCATTCCAATGCGTTAATGTACCTAACAAATTAAAACCTACCATCTGTAGATGTAGATTCTATGTATTAATCTAGATGGTCACATTTGTCTCAACCTGCCTATTCCTAAATGATGCAAAGCCCATGAAAGACAGCGAGTTCATCAGGATAATCTTCTATTAAGCCTGATTAATGAACAGAGATTAGGATCAAAAGATGGGGTCACTCTCTTTTGGTGTCGATGACTGCTTCTGTATGGAACAGCGTTACTTAAAAACAGGAGGTTAATAGAACAAAAGTGAACTGTTTTTCTTATTTCAGGAGTACATCACTGATCTAAGTACATCCTTGCTCTCAGTTTGTCCAGAACTGCAACATGTCAGTAAATGGCAAGCTAGCTCAAAAAGCAATATCTACTCTGGCTTGAGGAATGTAAACTGAGCACTGAGAGAGGGAGATTTAACAAAAATATACAATCACAATACTTAATGGCATTTTTAGGACATATACTCATCATATACTCAAAAAACAACATTGTTAAACTGTTCACCCTGCTGAGCACACATTTGAGAGTATTCTTTTTCACTTTGAGCAGTTTTCTCTTTTCCATCTCAGCATCACCAGGACAAATGACCACTGTATTGCTACTAGTTTGCTTTTGTTCAGCTTCTTAGTGTTAAGGTCTGTTGACCAAATTCCTCCAAACTGACTTCACACTACAAAATAATACTAAAAGGCGGCCATTGTTTCTAGAGGAGCATTCTGCACAAGAACTTATTCAGAAAAGGAAGCATTATTCATGACTTGTTAATGGCTAGAAGCCATGCAATGGGCATAATGAAAATAATGAAAGTACTCATTCTTCCCTTCTTTTGCACACCACCCAGAAAATGTTTTTATGCTCTTCAGCACTGACACAAACTAAATATTCATGATTAAAATCACATAGGTCTTGGTAAAAAAATGCAATTGCAGATATGATTAATATGCAGTTGTCACAAGAATGTTGACTGTAATTAGGATTCATTAGACTATAGAAGTAGTGTAATTTTTCACCTTTCATATTATTAAAAGGAGAGAGAACAAGTGTGTGTGGTCAGAGCGCACATGTGAGGTCAAGCAACAAATCACCACAGTGACTCAGTGAGCCTACAGCTCCCCCAACATGATTTTGTCCTTATAAGGACATAGGGCACAATCACTCTGGCCTTGGTGTTTATATGACGGGCAAAATAAGGCAGCTCATGTAGAAGAGATGAATTTAATGATGGTATTACTGACAGCCACTGCCAGAGATAAAGCAATGATCTAGACCGATTTGACCTTTAGGAATATCGCAAACAACCTATCATGTAGAAGGTCATTTAAGGAAACCAAAATATATTTTTTTTTTTTGTTATAGTCAGATGTCTTTCTCAGATGGCTCCACTTTGCCCA